GAAGGTGTTGAGGGGTTGGAAAAGTTGGCTTTTTTTCTTTTTCAGTAGAAGCCAAAGCAGATGTACTAACTAAAAGTGTGGCTCAAGTCAGTCCTCACGCTATTAGGAAAGTTGTTTGAGCATTAAAATCTTGTATGACCCTTACCTTCCTTCAGCAATGGGGATGTCCCAAGGCTTGCCGGCGGAGGATGAGGCCTGCTAAGCCGTCGTTGGACTCACGTCAGCTATTTTGGCTTCTTTTTATTTTTTATTTTTTTTTCCTTTCCCCACCCCGAGCTTTCTATTATTCTTGTTTCCGCCCCCATTTTTCCCTTATTCTCATTTGCACCCCCAACCCCTTGCCCCATTTTCTTTAATTTTAGCGCCCATTTCAATTTTAAAATTCCTCTTTGACATTTCCAACGGGAGAAACTAAAAAGAAAAGAAAGATTGTCTGCTTCGATGCTCCCATGGCTTGCTTTTACGCGTTTTCTGACGTGGCCACAATCCATGGGCCCCACTCTCTCTCTCTCTCTCCCCGCCCCGTTTCTTTCTTTACTTAAAAATTTAAATAAATAAATAAATAAAAACAATTGGCCGTTCGGTGCGGACGATTTTGTAACGTAACGTTGCAAATTACAGTCCGTTAGAAAAAGTTACCATTCATTGGTTGGTGGCGTATTAAAGTTTTTCTTTTTATTTTTAATAAATGACCTAACCAAAATTAATTCTAATAAATAATTAATATTTTTACCTACTTAAGTATTAGTTAATTTTAATAAATAATTAATCATTTATTTAGTAAATCCAAATGAATTAAAATATATTAATTTTGATAACCTATGATAAAAAATAGAAAAATAAATTAAGAGAAGAATTAAAAGAAAAACTCGTGCTTTTCCAACAAAGATCCTTAGAATAAGAGTTTTTCAAAGTAAGGCTAAACATTTATGTTGTTTTTAAGCAAAGAATAAAACTTAATTAAAATGATAATTTAATTGTTAATAAAATTACAAAATGGAAATAGATATGATAATTAAAATGTGTGGTTGCTTATTTTATTTTAAAGGTGTGCAAAGTAATTTAAGATAATGGCAAAAGGAAGGAATAAAAAGATAAAGTCGTAGGAGAGAGAAATTAGCTTCTCCCATTACCCATAGTATGTGAGTCCCACTAAATATTATGTGTAATCTTAATATTTATTAATTCAAACTCTTGGTTGTGTCTCCCACATCTTCTCTCTCCTCTTTCCTTCACATCATATTTGATTTTTTTTTTTTTTTAATCATCATCAGTGAGTTATGTACTTAAATGGACTTGTCAGTTGACCCAGTGAGTAACTTTTGTAATTGATTTAATAAATCTACTATTTTAGATATTTGTAAAATATTTGCTCGTTCTCAAATATAGAAAATAGATCGATAATTTATTAAGTTTTGATTTCAAGACTTGAACATTGAAATCTCGTCCTTTCACTATAACGAGAGAAACTTAATTTGTGATCATAGACTAGTTATTCATAAGATGATCAATAATCTCATTCAAATTTTAAATTGCCTCACTCACATAAGATCATCAATAAATTCATTGTATAGGTTGTCTCACTCACATATCTCTACATGAATGATTGAATCAAATTTTTTAAATGAAGAATTCGAATATCTGATCTCTGGGTCGAAAATGCATGTTTCATGTAGTTGAATTACTTCCATGTAGTCAATAATATTTTCATTTTCACAAACAAATTTAAACATAATTCAACCGACTAAAATGTATACTTATTTTCACTAAAAGGTATTATTTATGAAATAATCATCTCTATAATAATTTTGATTTTGATTGTTATTAATAAAAGTCTACTTTCACAAAATTATGTATTAAATTCATCTTTATAATTCTTATAACGAGATAATACATTTTTTCTGGTTGTGTTCTATAGTTTATTCTTCTTTAAAAATCTTCATTTAAATTTATAGTTCTTGAGATATTAAGAGGCCAAATAGTTTGATGGTTGTTTAGCAATGTTGAATAGGGAGGCATCAATCAAAGAGTGGAATCATATGCATTATTCTTGATATGATAGTTACAATGGTTTTGGCAAATATGTTCAAATATGTTTTTGATAAATTGATTTATGAATTGTTGTTTGATTATTTGAAAGTTTGATGGAAGAAAGTAAGCGCAAAAAATCCTAAACAAAAATTCAAATATTTTGAAAATCTTTTCACGATTGAACTCTAATGAATATAGAAATATGTTTTTAATAAATCTTTAGTAATCTTCAAAATATTTTTTTTAACTTAAAAATTATTTAAATAATAATTATTCATATAAAAAGAAAAAGAAAAAAAAGCATAATAAACATATTCTCAAAATTTATAGGAAAAATAATAATAGAAAATACATTTTAAAAAAAAAGAAATTAACAATAAACTAAAATAGGAACCAGTTGTACAAAAATAAAATATAAAATATAGAAATCAAAATGATATTTAAATTTATAATCTCTATGGTTAGATGAGTTTCTTCTCATTTGTTAAAATGTCGTGGATTATGTTTTTAGGATTTTGAAACAAAATAATAATAATAATGAAAAAAAAAAACAGTTTTTTTTTTTTTATGTTAGAGGTAATGTTTAATAAAAATTAATGTTTGGGTATTACATAAACTTTATATTTTAGAGAAAATTGACTGAGTTGAAATACTAAAATAAATAAATATATACATAATTTATTTATTGAATTTATATTTGGAAGGAAACTTATTATAATAACTACTTTTGTTTGTGGTTAATGTCTAAACTAAAACTTGACTTTAAAGTTGATATAGGAAGAGATATCTACGAGACAGAGTAGATTTTTTATTTCCGTTCCTGTTGCCGATTTAATTTTCTATCTATGCAAAAATTTTCATTTATTTTTGTAAAGATTGGAGCGAGTATTCTCTGATAATTTTTTTCCATTTATTTTTTCTTAAAAAAAATAGTATTTTAAAGAAAAATCATAACACAATTTATTTTATAAGCAAATATATATAATATTCTCTTTAACATAATTTAAAATTTTAAAATTAATATTACAGTATTTTTTTTTGACAATTTAAAAAATCTAATATTAATTTAAATATTATTATTAGAGGCTCAAAATTAATTAATTTTAAAATTTAAATTTATCATATATATATATATATATATATATATAATAAGGTGAGATGAAGATTTGGGTACTGATAGGGTATTCTAGTCTCAACCTATTTGTTTAACAAGTATTCTTTATTCTCCATGTAAACAGAAGATCTCTCTTCGTTTGAGCAGGTATTATGTAACTCTGTACTTGAGAATAAAATAAACATCTCTAAATATGAATAAAAAAAAAAAAAAAAAAAAAAAAAAAAAAAAAAAAAAAAAAAAAAAAAAAAAAAAAAAAAAAAAAAAAAAAAAAAAAAAAAAA